AAATGCTGCTCAGGGGCAAAGTGATCAAAATCGGCACTGCGCAGGCTAATAATTCCAGTGAGCACTTGAGATACCAAATTTCATGACTCGAGAGCCATCTGGCTCAAATGTGCTCGTGCGGTAAGTTTAACGGGGTGTATGTACGGGGTTATTTCAAGGACTTCGTGTGCAATTTCTTGCTGTGTTCTGAAGTTTAATTCCAGTTAATTCTACTCGAGTTTGGCTTAATTTTTAGCTTCTATAAATATAAAACTTAGCCAAAACATTAAGAAAGACCCTTTTGCCTCTATATACAAAATAACGTCATCAAATTCTTCAAAAACAAGATGTCATTTGTTATATTTTGAGAAAGGAGATCAATTCCTAACAAAGAATTGAAGCCAATTACATCAAGATTTTGAAGAATTCAACCTTGAAATTGAAGATCAACATCTTTTTGCATTAATTCATCATCCGAGTGATTTTTTTTCTATTTATTTTGAAGAATTCAACTTTGAAAGAAAATCAACATCTTTTTGGATTAATTCATCATCCGGGCGATATTTTTCTATTTTTATTTCTGTAATTTATATAAAAGTATGCTAGACTAGATCAATTTTGTTTTGGATGAAGATGAACCCTTTTTTTTAACTTGATACTTGTAGTTTAGTTTAATTATTGTGTTCCTTGATTAATTCACATTCCATTATTTAATTGCTTGATCATCAAGTGACTAATTAGTTACTTCTTACAGTGTTGGAAGACTCACAATAAGTTTAGAACGCATTAAAATTAATATATGTGCAATAGATATTAGAAATAACATTTATTACGTATGCAATTATATAGATAATCTAAAATTTAATGTATTATAATCATTCAAATTCGGATTAGGGATATATTTGGGTCATGATTAAGATATATTTAATTTATTATGGAAAAGAAAATTTTATATAATAATTTTATCTATTGTCAAGAACACATGAACGAAACTAAATTACAAATCAAGAATTGAAATAGATAGTGATATGTGAATTCGAAATCCAATACAATCATTCATAATTTGATACAAATTCTAAATTTAGAGTTTTATTAGATTAATTTAGAATAATCACAAAATCAAACTCTATTTTGTTTACATAATTCAAAAGAATGTATTAGTAGCAAATTCGAAAATTAAAGAAGAATTAGGGTTTACTGCAATTAAAACGAGAAAATCAAATATCAACAGAACCTTAAAATTTCTGTGATGAAATCTCGAACGAAGGCTCCTCACACCCTCAACAGTGCTCTAATATCACTTGTAAGGGTAAAGAGCCTCAAGAAACACACGGATGCAGTCACAGTTTTACCAAGAAAGTTGAACAATATGCACAAAGCAGATTCTATTTACAGTAGGCTCAGAAAATGGGAACATTGTACCCGTCTG